CAAGCTGGGGCTTTTCTTCCACAGAAAGTGAGTAAAAGCCTCTTTTATAGTTTGTGTCTTGTCGAACTCAATGCTTTTGAGTGCTGTGTGTTATTGGTAACTCGTGCTGTGGATGGGTTAATACAGGTCTCTGTTTACTGACTAAGGAAGCTGCACTGTGAGAGTTGTTTACTTGGATTTTGTTTCCTGTTTTTGCAAGAGTGCCAAGTGCCCTCTCTGTGGAGGTTGCCATGCACAATCCCCTCCATGCTTTTGGAGTCTGGTTGCCATCATGTAACCAGAAAACTGTCTGCCTTTCTGCTAGGCTCCTCTCCTCAGAGAGCCCTTGTGTCTGTGCTGCAAATAAAGCTGCTTGTGTCTGCTTGTCTTGTTGCAGATTGTGTCTGGAATCAAGTACATAATGGAGGTGGAGATTGGCCGGACAACTTGCCCTAAGCCAGCCACTGATCTCCAGAGCTGTGCTCTCCATGATGCACCACAGATGGCTAAGGTAAGCTCCAGAGCTGGCCCCTGGGTTTCCAACCCTGTCCCTCCATCTGGGTTACTACAGAGGGGCATAGGCAGTGTCCCTAGTCTGCTCCAGTGAAGATCAGACACCTTCGTGCCTTTACACTTAACAAGATTCTGCCCTTGCAGAACTTGTCTTGCTAGATGCCAGTGACAGAGGAGGCAGGGCCTTTTAGCCTGGTTTGTAACTGGGGATCTTAGACTGGACTGCATGTGTATGCCTCAGTACTCTTAAAAAGTGTTCATAGTCTGGGTCACAAGGATATGTGGTAGAAGCTCTGCCAAATCTACAGGTCTCCTGGCTCTCAGGCCAGTGTTCTGAGTCCCCATGCTATTCTTAACTCCTTATCCTATGGTGGTGTAAACATGTATGACTTGACAGTTCTTCCTGGGGAGGCTAACGCTGCTTTGGGCTAAGTACTGATCACAAGAGGAAGATTACCCTTGTTCTTTGTGCCCAGCAGGCTGTTACATGGGAATCTTGTCTAATAGCAATGTTCTTTAAGGAGTATTTTAGCTTTTCAGGTGAGAGCACCAAATATGTGCTGTCTTGATCTGGGCCCAGTCTAGTTTCTCCACAGCACTTCAGTACTTCTTTTAATCACAGCAACAGGCTTAGCCTCTCCATGTAAATGCCCTTTCTGCTTGCACATGTAAGAAGTGTAACTGCACACAAGTGATCCATTAAGTGCCTAGCTAGAAGCTTGTGTGAACCAGTGACAGCTGCAATGATTTGATACTTGCACATACATATCAGCTGTGTAGGTTGTGATTACCTGTGACTGAGAGCTTATGTTGGAGTATTACCCATGCTGAAAGCTGGGTGAATGGGTAGAGGAGGTAACCTGAGCTTCAGAAGTGCTGACCTTTCAGTTTTTCTGTTAGTGTTTATTTGAGAGAAATGATTCGTCCTGAGTAGGTACTAACAGGAGTGGTATTCCAGAATGCTTGTCAGGAGAATGCAAATCTGGAGAGCAATGGAAGTGGCATACATTCTGGATCATGTGGGGTGGTAAATCAGTGTAACAGCATAAAACAGTGTTACCAACCATTGCTCTCATCTTATAATTGCTTTCTTTTTTTCTTTCTCTCCTTAGCGCACCACTTGCAACTTCGTAGTGTACACTGTTCCTTGGCTAAACCAAATTAAACTACTGGACAGTAGCTGCCAGTAAACCTACCTTGTTCCAGCAGAGACCAGCAACCAGTTGCTCAGAGTTAAAAGAAAAAAAAAGGCAATAACACAAATTGGGATGGGCTTTGTCAATGCCTGTTAACTACTTATGTATGCTTGTGCTATGCAAGTTAAACTAGGTAACTTTCCTTTAAAGCACAGTATGATCTCAACTCTTTATTCTTTGTAATTACATTCTAGGGCAGCTGTTTTGGTCTTTCTATGGCTTTCCCAATGAATAACTCCAACATCAGAATTCTGATTAAAACCACCCTTGGTATCCCTGTTAGAGTGACTACTGTAAACATAAAAAAATAATTCATAATTGCTGTGATGTGTGGTTTTGTTTGAGCTTCTGCTGGGTTGGAGGGAGGGTTTGCTTTTATTTGTGACCTAGTCTATTGTGCCCAAAGAATGGGGAGAGAAGGAATGTGGGGTCCTGGATACAAGAGATAGAAACCATCCCTCTTTGTTCCCTAAACCTGGCCTCTGGTTTTAGAGTAGGAAGTCCTTAGCTGTTTTCACTTGAGAAACACTGTGCTTTTGAAGACAGTGCAGTGTGAAGCTCCTGATCTTGGGCAGGTGAGCCAGAGCTTGTACTGGGGCTGTGGTTTTTCAGGTGCTGAGGTACCACCGGGGATGCTTCTTATTTTGCAGAGTCCTTATAGTGCATTTCTCTATCTTGTGTCTTTTCTGTGTTTTGAAGTAAACATACACCTCTGTCAAATCTTACCCAGGGATAAATTGATTCCAATGTTCTGTCATGCCCTGTGTTAACCCTTAAGCCCAGGAGTCCTGTGTCCAGGCCTGGTGGTCCTGTTTTGAAAGGAAGGTGGAAGGGATGCAGAGGAGAGCTGCAGGAGTCATCTGATGGCTGGAGAAAGCAGCTTGAGGTGAGAGTGTAAGGGTGCTGGTACTCTTCACCTAAAAAATGATACCTTGGTGAGAGCTAACACAAACACCTTTGGGTCTGGGGGTGGGGGAGCTTGGGTCTGATGAAGGCTTTGTATTTCTAGTGGGGAATACAGCTCCCTTGGAGTGCATCTTCTGTGGGTTGTGCTTTCTCCCAAGGGATATACTACTTCCCATCATTTTCCAGGTTTGGTGATCTTGCAGTGAGCACAAGGCCAGATCTTGATTCATGTTGTCAGGGGGATGAGCTGGTTGCCTGATACCAAGATCTCCATCCAGGATGTGCTCAGATACAAGAATTAGTCCCCCTGTTTCCCCCCCCACCATCATTGCCCCATTCCCTCCGAGCGCTGTGCATAGAGATGTCCTGTTTCTCCTGCAAGCCAGGTCAGTGACTGTACAGGTGTGTGCTGTATTGCTGGGTCAGTGACCCTGCTGATCCAGAAAATCCTGGTGTCAAGCTGCTCAGGTGCCCTCACTTGTCATTTTTCTAACAACTCCATTCCTGCAAGCTTATTTCCCATTTTTCAGTCTATTTATACAACACTGGACAGTGGTGAATAGGCTCCATCATGCTTCTGGTGGGTTTGCCTGCATTTCCCTTTTAGCATCTTGGCTTGAGGCCTGTATGGGAAATTGCACTAGTTCTTAGAAAGGAGACTAGGCAAGAAATCAGGATGCAGATGGATGTAACCAGGATTTTCTATCAATTCAGCTCTGTTAGCCAGCAGCTCTGAACAGGGTGTGGGGAAAAAGAGCATCTGTGCCAGAGAAGTGTGATGAGCTCCTGAAATTCAAAGATACTGTTTTCTCATGTTGAAATGCTGATGACTAAAGGGCATGAAGGAATGGCACAGATTACCCCATCCTCGCAAGCTGAGGCTGAGTGTCAGCCTTGGTGATTGTCCCTACATGTTCTCTACTTGGACCAAATGCCAAAAAAGCCTGACCTAATTTAAGCATCTTCCATGGTGGGCTGTGCTATGCAGTTGCAACAGCCTAAGGGCAGTAGTGGAAGTTCCCCTGCCAAGAGCGTTTTGCTTGGCAAGTCCTTCTGCTTGGCTGGCTAGTGGTAGCTTGTTCAGCTGAACCCTGACCCCTCATTTTTAGCTGCCTGTTTTCTTCAGATGTTGGTGACAGATGTGAACAAGCGACCAAGGAAGTGCTTATTTCATGCTGTCTCTTGTTATGCTTTGCTTGCACCTAATGGATCAGTTCCAGGGTTGTGCTTCCTTAAACTGAGGTGGGGTCAGAGCTCTGCTGTACTCGCATGGACTTGTAGCTCCTAGCTCTGCAAAGGCAGCTGGAACAGAGAGCTGGGGAAGTCAGCAAGTTTTTGCAGCATGTGGGAATTACTGCTGTGCCCATCTATGGCATGCTCAGTTGAAGGCAACAAGGATGTATCCTCATTAGCAAAAATACAAATTCCACCTGACCAGGCTGGTACCTTTCAACCTATCTGGCTTCACATAAAGTGTGTGTGTGATAAAAAGCAGCTTTACAATGAGAGCTGCAGAACCCAGAATATGTTGGGGAATGCGGCACAGGTTGCCTTTGGCTTTTTTACCCTATCTGGCACCCTCAACCACATACCTTCTCTGCCCATGGCCCAAGACATTAAAGCTTAAACCTGTGCCCCCTGACCCTGTTTGAGCTGCATTAGGTAAGTCCTTACCTCCAGCCGTGGCTGCTGCATGGACTTTGGACCTGCCTTGTAGCTTTGTCCTCAGCCCATTCTCCTGCTCCAGGCTGGGCTCCCTGGGGGGACTCTACTTTTGGTTCATTTGCTTGGTGTCTCTGGGGCTGTTAATGGACTCTGTCTGTGGGGCCTGGGTCCAGGTCCCACCCTGGCCATTCTGAGACTGTGTGGGACTGTGCCCTGTTGGGCTGCACATGGACAGTCCTGGGCCCCTCAGCTCCTGGCTCATACCCTCCTTGTTGCTGCTCTCTGGGATGTGGTATGGCAAGGTCTTTCTGAGATCCTTGAAGCTGTATCAGCAATCCTTCCATGTATGGACACTTCCCTCTGCACACAGCCTAAATTGCAGTTTCCTGCAATTATGAAAGGAAGTGACCATGTGAGGATGCAGGTCACCCTGCAGCCCTAGGGCTGGATCACCCAGTCATGTTGCCAATGTACGTGTGCTCAGGATGTACGATATTGCTTAGCCTAAGGCATGGAGACCTCTTAGTGAGGGTCTGAAGATGCTGGGTTGTTTGTATTCATTGTTAATATGCAGCGCCTTAGAATCAGTGAATCACTGTAGTGTGAATCCTTCAGGAGATCAAATCTACTGATCAAACCCACTTGCATTTTGAATTGGTGCTCTATGTCTTGATGATGACACTAGAGAGTTAAGACTTCAGAGCTCTTTGCTTGCAGGACACAATGATGATCTGGAGATCATTTCTGCAGGATTGAGCAGGTAAGTGTCCTAAGTTGGATCCCTGCTGCTGATGGGCCCCCCTGATGAGTCTTGTAGCCCAGCTTTGGTGGTGTCCTGCTGGTGAGAAGGTTGGGAGGCAAGTGCCTGGTTCTCTTCTCCAGCTACCATGGTCCCAGGTTGAGCAAGGAGGCATGAAGAGGACTCTTGGTGTTGGCTTGAGTGAGAAGAGCGGCCAACCTGCAGGCTCCACAGTGGAAAACCCTCACGAGCACCTCCCTGTTCTCTCCCTCTGACATGGGGCATGGCTCGGTGTGGTGATGGACCCTGGGTCAGGACCTGGGCCTTGATGTGACACTTGCTAAAGCCTCTCTGGGGTGTTGCCACTAACTGGCATGGCATTACTCAACCTCTGAGCTGGTAGGCTCCTACTGTAGGATTTTGTAACAGGGAAGAAAAGGAGAAGCTCAACTGTTCATCTCCATGGTAAGCCGGTGCATGAGTGGTGGAGGGTGTGCTGGGTGCTGGTTTTGACCTTGCCACAGTGGGTGTGGGTATGTGTGTGCATAGCACTGATGATGGGGAAATCTTCCTCTGCTTCCAGCTGGGGAAAAAGCGCCAGTGACTCACAATTCTTTTCTTGTACTGGGCCTTGCTGGGAGGCACTTTCCCCTATTCTCCACCAGCTGATAAATCCCAGACTGGTTTGGGTTGGAAGGCACCTTAAAGCTCATCCATTTCCAACCCCCTGCCATGGGCAGGGACACCTTCCACTAGAGCAGGTTGTTCCAAGCCCCTGTGTCCAACCTGGCCTCGAACACTGCCAGCAGCTGCCCAGAGAAGTTCCTACCTCTGAGTGCTGAAAGCACAGTGATCTTACCGCATGGGAGTGTCGGGGAACTTCTGTGGTTAGTGAGCCTGGTGTTAGGTTGTTGACGGCCAATCAAGCTGGATGAAGCCAACTGTGCTGATGAGGAAGAGGCTGGATAAAAGTTTGTCTGTGTTTATGAATGCAGCCATACTAGTTCTGAATACATCTCTGGAGGAGAGGGGGCACCAGAACCATTTGGAAGGATGTTTTTCACATACCATGTTGCAGTTTCTTTGGGTGAAGCTGCATGTACCAAGCTCTAGTTATGCAGAGGCACTTGGGGGGGGTCACAGGGCTGATCCCAGAAGGGGTGTTGTGGGAGCTCTTCAGGAGCAGGCTCCCCTTAGGAAGAGCAGTAGCTGATAAAATGAAATTAGCTTTGGACCTCTGAGCTTGGCTTTTGGCTTAGCAGGTTGGTTAATTACGCTGACCGTCCCTTGCTAGAGCTCATGGGACTGGTTAAGATGACTGCAGATGTTTTATTATGTTTTTCCTCCCTGGATAGTAGATATTTCCACTGCTTTCTGTGTTAGCCAGGGCACACAGTTGGAAGTGCTTTTGCTGTTCAATCTGACACTTGGTCTTTTGTCTTGTTTGAACAAACCTGGGTCTGAGATCTCAGTCTAGAGAACTGGCAAGAGAGTTTTTTTGCTCTGTGCCACTTTACTCCCTCCCAAATACTGCAAATGCTTCTTGCAAATGCTTGTACTGGGAAAGCAAGAAGTAGCGGAATTTGGGTACTAGAGGGAAAGGAGCGCAGACGTGCTTGCAGCAATCCAGCACAAATCAAGAGCTCTCAGAAAAATCTTTTTGACCCCTTGATTATCACCTCTA